AATTGCTAGGTGCAGTGTTATATAAAACTCAATTAGATATAGTTTGCTAAATATATTGTTCAATTCTTCTATATCTTTACCGGTTTTTTTTGTCTACCTACCCTTTAAGTTTTTGAGAGAAGAATGTTAAAATCTCATGTTTGTGATTGTATCTGTTTTTTTCTTCTAGACTTGTAAAATTTTGCTTAGATATTTTGAGGCTAAATCATTACTATAGATTTTTAAATAGCTGTATCTTTTGGGTGGATTTTTTCTTTTTTACCTTTGATCAGAATGAAATGGCCCTTTTCTTTATTTCTAATAAAGCTTCTTGCCTTAAGGTCTACTTCCTTTGATGTTAACATAGCTATGCCAGTTTTCTTTTGGTTAACGTTTGTCTGATGTATCTTTCTCCATCCTTATATTTTCAATCTTTTTGTATCCTAACTCTTAAGGGTATCTCACATAAGCAGCATTTAGTTGGTTTTTGTTTTCTACCCTGTCTGATGATCTTTCTCTTTTAATTGGAGTACTCGGTCCACTTACACTTCATGTAAATACTAACAAATTTGGAGTAAAATCTACCATGTTTTTATTTGCTACTTGTACTACCAGTCATGTTCATTTTTTCTCTTCCTTGCCACCTATTAAAGGAATCAAATATTTTTTTAAAAATTCCATTTCCCCCTTTATTATAGTTTGTTACTTTTATATCATTTTACTATTTGAGTAATGTTTAGCCCAGAGATTACAACAAGCATCCTTGAATTATTAAAGTTCTTATATTAGTTAGCATTCATACACTTCCAAGACAATTCAAGGATCTTGGAACACTTTAAATCCATTTACTCCTCCCACTTTTGAGGTATGGTTATAATGTTTTTAATTCTACATACATTTTAAATAACACATTTTTATTGTAATAACTACACTATTATTATGGTTATATTTTACTTAATATTAATTTACCCTTACTGTTGCTTTTCATTCCTTCTTGCATTTCTTTGCTTCCGTATGGTGTAATTTTCATCTGAATTCCTTTGGTTTGGATCTTCTCTTGGTGAATTATCCCCATGTCATAAGGAATGATCAGTTTTTGTTCATCTGTCCTTATTGGTCTCCATTTTAAAAGATATTCTCACTATGTTTAGAATTCTAGATTGAAAGCTATTTTCTTCCAACAGTTTGAAGCTTCTATCCAATACTTTCTAGCTTCTATCATTTCTCTTAGAAGGTGGTGGGTCTTTTTTCTTTAGATACTTTAAGTTCCCCCACTCCCATCCCACACTGCCTTTAGTTTAGAGCAGAATTTTATTATAATGTGTAAGCATAAGGTACAGTTTTCTTTTCATTTCTTTTTTTAAGGGTATGGTTTTCTTTATTTTATTCTGCTTAGGGCTGTTAGTGCTTTACTGTATGGCTTGAAGTCTTCATTACTTTTGGATCATTTTTCTTCAAATACTGCTTCTGTGACATTCTCTCCTCTTTTTCTGGGACTTCAATTACATAACAGACCTGTTTAATAAGTCCCACATTTTTAATATTTATTTATTTATTTATTTATTATTGTATTATTTTATTTATTTTTTGGCAGAAGGGGGCAATTAGGTTTATTTAGTTTTAAAGGAGGTACCGGGGATTGAACCCAGGACCTCATGCATGCTAAGCATGCACCGTACCACTTGCTATATCCTACCCCTGTCCCATGTTTTTAAAATGCTGCATTTCCTCATCTTTTTTCTCTTTGTGCTTCAGTCTGGATCATTTCTACTGACATTATCTCCGGTCTTCCCGTCATCTGTGTCTAATAGGCTGTTAAGCCCTTCTAGTGAGTGCTTAGTTTCAGTTCTAGAATTTTCATTGTTTGTAGATTCCCCAGGTTATCTAGCTACAACATTACCGTAACCGGAATTCTCCCCAATACACATTTTAATGCTTTATTTTGAGATATTAGATTTACAAGAGTTGGAAAATAATCCAGAGCATTCCCTTACACCCTTCACCCAGCTTCCACTTATGTTGACCTCTTAGATAACAGCAGAACAATGATCTATATTAACTAAACCACAGAACTTACGTGGGCTTTTCCAGTTTGTCCACTAACATCCTTTCTCTATTCCTGGATCCAAACTAGGATCTGAAATTGCATTAGGCTCTCATATCTCCGTAGCCTCCTCCAATCTGTGACAGGTCCTCAGTCTTTCTTGTTATCCATGACTCCGAGCCAAGCCTTTTGAAGACCACTGGTCAGTTATTTTGCAGCATGTTCTCAGTTTCCTTCCATCAGAGGTTGTCTGATGTTTATTCATGACTAGATTGAGGTTATGCATTATTGGCAAGAATGACACAAAAGCAATGTGCCCTTCTGGGTATATCATATTGGGGGGTATACGACACTGATGTGTCTTATTAGTGGTGATGTTCATGTTGATCACTTGGTTGAAGTGGTGTCTGCCAGGGTTCTCCACTGTACAGTTACCGCTTTTCCTTTGTAATTACTAAATATATGGGGGAGAGACTATCCAGTTATCTGCTTCTGCTCACCCTTTTACTCAATAATTTTAGCCTACTAGTATGTCTTGCCTGCAGATTTTATTAGTGTGATATTTAATGGTGATTTTTCATTTCTCTCACTCTTTAAATATTAATTAGAATTCTTTCTTAACAAAGAGTTGTCCCTTCTCTCCTATTTATTTATTCAGATATTTACTTATATGAGTATATGGACTTACAGACATTTATTTTATTCTGCATTATGATCTAACACTACTAATGTATGTTTTGTTGCTTGAGTTGTTTGAACGTTGGCCATTGGGAGCTGTGTCCTGATATGCCTTCTCCCCATCCTCTCTTTCTAAATTATTTTAGCTTCCTTTCTGAGTCCTTGCCTACTTCTCCAACTGTCTTTGAAATGTGTTGACCAGACACAGAAGTCCCAAACACACAAGTCCAAAAGAGAACACAGAATTGCTAAGTTCAAGAAGGAAAGAAAATGATTTCTTTAACACTTACCAGAAAGGACCAACATATTTGCCTGTTTTTGCCATCAGTGGTTGAGTTCCTGAAGAATTATGGGTTTGCAAGTGTTCTTTAAACTGTGAAGTATAAGCCACGTGTGTGTGAAAGGACTGTCATCATTAAGCATAACTGCCTTTCCACCTGGTGAGCAGAACTGGTGACTGCTCAGCTTGGTCTTGACCTCATTCCCCAGGATGGTGGGAGGCTGGCATCAAGAAGGAAGCTGAGGGAGGTGGCGGTGGTGGTAACAGCTCAGTGGTAGAGCACGTGCTTAGCACGCACCAGGTTCTGGGTTCAGTCCCCAGGACCTCCATTTAAAAAAAAAGAAGCAGGCTGGGAAAAGGTGTGAGGAAAGTCTCTATGTACTGCTCTTGGGTATCTATGTACTGTTAATTGAAAAAAGCAAGGTGCAGAGGATAGTAAGAAGGAGAGTGGGTTCAAATATACCTACATATTTGCTAATGATTCCAAAAAGATACAACAGAGGAACCCAAACTAATAGAAACAGTTACCTACAGGGGTAATAAGACTGTAAGGAAGAAGGGACACAATAGAAGTTAGAGGGAAGGTTTTTTTTCTTTGAAACAGAAATTCACAGCTAATAGATGCAGAAGGAATACTAGAATTAGAGGTCACCGTTTTGCAACCCTTAATTTAAAAAAATTGACCGGGGCAACAATCATCTAAGGCTACTAAACCATTAAATGAAAGGTTGATAAGAACTTTTGTAAAGAAAGAATTAGGTTCATAACACCTGAAGCCACTTATCACCGATAATGCGAAAACCGGCTATCATGCTCCATGCATCCTCTTGGGATGCAACAAGAAATACACAACATGAAAGAAGTATTCTTGCCACTAAGAGAAAAAAAAATATGAACATGAATCCAATCAAACCTCTACATCTAGCAAGTTTACAGAAAATCTTGGAGGACACAGGAATGTGTTTCATGTCACCACAATAATACAATTAGCCAAATCCAGAATATGAGAAATTACAGTTTCTTCAACAAGCAAAAGGGATTTTTAAAAAGAAAAGGATGGAGGAGGAATTATTAACTAAACAAGGAATAAGAGGCACTTTAACCAAATGCAATGTTTGAATTTTGACTCAAAGAAACCAATTATAAATCTACTTTAAAAAAAAAACAAATAGAGGAAAATCAGTCATGGATGAGTATTAGCTGACACTAAGGAATCACTGTTAATATTGTTGAATGTGATGATGGTTATTTTTTAGAAGTCCTCATCTGTTAGAGATAATTGAAGTATTAACTGAAGAATGACGTGATACCTGTTTTTCCTTAAAATACTCCAGTGTACACATGGTGAACACAGACATACATACACACACTTGAAGTTGTGTGGGTAACAGACGAAACCAGATTTGCAGGAAGTAGATAACTGCTAAACCTGGGTGATGGGTGCACAAGGGTTCATTATAGTCTTTTCCCTAGTTTGCATATGGTTTTAAAATTCCACAATAAAGACTCTTCTAAAAATGGAGTGGGATCTGTAAAGAAATAAGATTTTTACCTCATAAACTGGTCCGATTTCATAATCTGTGAAAAATCCAATTGATGGCTTGGCTAGAAACACTGGAGTGTCAGCACAACTGTGGGAAGGCAAGAGAGGGCGGGAAAGGCTGTTAGTTTCACCCGTGTGACTGATGCATGTAAAGCAACTACATCCAAGAGATTCACCACGTGTCATTCGTTGTGTTCTGCAGCTGTTAAAACAGGTTACAAAATAGTTTTACAGCAAGATTGAATCTTTGTGACGATACACGTAGCTACATAATACACGTAGCTACGTATTTTATTTTCAGTATGCCTGGGAAAAACTCCAGAAGCTTAAACAACAGTAGGTTAACTGGATTTTTAATATAGGTGCTATTTTTCTTGGCAAATCTTTTCTACTTTTTCTGAATAAAAAGATATTACTTGTTTAATAGGGAAACGTTAATAGTGCTAAGTCCATTCAAATCAGGGGAAAAAATTATGAAACCATGAAGCAGTTTCCTCCCTTCATAAGGATAATTACTGAAATAGAGCCAAAGGCATTCTTTTAAAGAAAAATCACAATTTATAGTACTTGTTATTAAGCAGATCTTAAACATTTTTATTTCCAAGCCACATAAGACACATGAATTTAATGGAAGGAGCACATGGCTACATAGATGCCTCCTATTTGACCCAGACTTTTCAGATATTAAAGGGCCAGCACTAACCCCTATTCCTCAAGACTCTGGCAGGTAAGAAAAACACAAATCCAGGGCTCCCGGGATGTCTGAAGGCCACACTGGTCGGTAGCTCCAAAGCCCTCCTCTGTTCTGATGCTGACATCCTTCCTCCAGGAAGTCTAGAATCCTCCAGAAGCCAAACCACACCTAGGACTTGTGGAGTTTTACTCTGCAGAGTCAGATGTTCTGAGAATAAGAGTCAGGGAAACACACACCTCTGTTCCAGCTCTCCATTCTGGGACTGTCCTGTTGGTGCCGGCTTCTTCGGAGGAAAGAGAAGAGACTTGCCCCCATACGGAGTATTAGGGGGGAAAAAGCGAGGGTTTTTCAGGAAGCGGTTCCGACTCTCCATCCTGGCGAGTAGAAGCCGCTCCTGCTGCCTCTGTGGCACCCGTAAATGGTTCATCCATCTTTTATTCTTTTGTGAACCTGTTTTCTTTGGAACACAATAAAAAGTACAGAGTCGGCGGGGAGGCTATAGCTCAGTGGTAGAGCGCATGCTTAGCATGCACAAGGTCCTGAGTTCCATTCCCAGTACTTCCATTAAAATAAATAAACCTAATTACTTCCACCCAAAATAAATAAAGAAATATATTTTTTTTAAAAAGGGACAGAGTTAATGACAGGCAGAGGGGCTATGCGTGTTGACACCTGGCTGACCACAGGACCCACAGAGAGCCAAGACAAACCCTCCTCTGTCTCACCGTGGGTTTAGCATGACTCCTCGTGTCACCTGGGACCCCTTCCCCTCATCACTGCCTATCCCCACTGCCCACATCCACACCAATGTGTGGGTTGCAACATTCACCTTGACAGTTTCTCTGGACCTGAGTTTGGCCTTGAAAGATGAGGCCCACGTCAGGCTGTCCATAGTGAAGTCCAGCTCGTCTTCGGACTGAGAGCGCGTCTTCCGGCATGCCAGCTTCTTGGTCAGCTCTTTCTTTGGGGCGAAACGTTGTTCACAACTAAATGTCAGTTTTGAGTATCCAGGGACAAAGTTGCCTATAGCACCAAGGGAAAAACTCAAGTTACATCACCAAGGTGAAGTGGTGGATGCTTCTAAGATGACTAAATAAAACCACCAAAGGCACAGTCAGCTTGATACTCTTCCCTAAACTTTCACATTTCCTACACCGGATGTAACTGCCCTTTATTTCACATATAACTTACTCCTGGAACTTATTCTGTGTCCTGGAGACTAGAGGGTTAAAGTATTTGTTCGGTTGTTGAACATGGTCAGGTAACATGAGTGGACCACTGTCACACACACATGTACACATGTACACATACCCCACACGTGAACACACTTTTTCATGACATTTGATTCTACTACCTTCTCTGGCCTTCCTCTCTACAGGGCTCAGGCCATCATGAACTCTTTCCTGATCAGTAACCTCAATTCTCTGGACCCCAGGCCTCCCACCCTAAATGTCTTCTCAGCTCCAAATCCCCAGACATCATCAGAGTCCCACCAAATTGGGGTGGCTGACGAGCTCACCTTCGGAGTCTGGCACTGCTAGGCCACCTGAGGTTTGGCCACAGAAATCTACATGGCGACTCTTTCAAAACTCTATCTCCCTGCTGAAGCCCACAATACAGCTTCCCCACCCCCATTCATTCTCAGAAGACCTTGTCTCCCATATCACAGGAAACTATCGTATCTCTCTCTCACACACATACACACACACACACACAACCTTCTCTGCTCCCCACCCAACCTTCTGTCCATACTTAGCGTTGCTCCAGTCTGTCAGGGGGAGGGGAGAGCCCCTAGGTCTGTGTTCTGACTCCATCAGAAACTTGCTCCCTTGCTTATCTAGGACTTCAGACCCTCCCTCTCTTGGTTCATTCAACTGCATTTCTGAGCATTTTTGTATCTCCTGGTGTTGGGCAGCTGACGAGAGTGTCATATTCCACTCTGAGGAGCTAAGACTTGTGTCTTGTAAGTGTTAGGGAGCTGGGGAGGAAGTGGCTTACTCAGATTTGACCCTCTCAATAGTTTCTATCAAAATTAAAGGAACTATGGAGTATTACTCAGCCATAAAAATAATGCATTTGCAGCAACATGGATGGAGCTAGAGATTATCATACTAAGTGAAGGAAGTCAGAGAAAGACAAATATCATATGAAGTCACTTAATATGTGGAATCTAAAAAAATGATATGAATGAACTTATTTACAAAACAGAAACAGACTCACAGACATAGAAAACAAACTTATGGTTACTAAAGTGGGAGGTGGGGGGAGGGATAAATTAGGAGCATAGGATTAACAGATACATGCTACCATATATAAAATAGATAAGCAACAGGATTTACCGTATAGCACAAGGAACTATACTCAGTATCTCATATTAACCCATAATGGGGAAAAAGAATTGAAAACATATACATGTACAACCAAATCACTTTGCTATACACCTGAAACTAACACAATATTGCAAATCAACCATATTTCAATTAAAAATAAATAAATAAAATTTTAAAAAGGAAAGGAAAGACAAAAAAAAAATCTACAAAGAGGGAAATGGCAGCAGAGGTGGCTGGTGTGGGCTTGCTACTAAAGAACTTCCCTACGATGGTATCAGAGGCTATAAGGGAGTACAGAAGCGTTACCTTTAGGTGCAGAGCAAAATGGCACTGTATCGCTGTAGTAATCGTCTGGGCAGATCAAGTGATGTTTCTGTAGCAGTTCATTGTCCACACACCATCTGAAGATAGTCTTCACTACATAGAAGGGAACGAGGAAAAAGTGTTTCAAGCCAGACTGATGTCTAAGAACCTGCACCCAAACCTTACTCATCCTCCGAGCCCAAACCACCTAACAAAATTCTTAGAACACTGTGGTCATTTTGAGATTTAAGAAACTAACCAACAAGTGTTCCAGTTGGCCGCTTAGGCCATTGGGCAAGGCTATGTTGCGGTATTATTTGAGCTAAAATATGGTTACTCACAGAGAGCTCTAAACAAGACAGAGTTAAGAGAAACACGGTAGATTGAGAAGCGGCCCCAGTTCTTCACTCTCCTCTATATCCACATCCTCTGCCCTGTGAGTGAGCAGTTCCCACTACCAGAGACAGCATGCACTTCTTTGCCCTTGACTTTGGCCGTGTGAGGTGCTTTGACAATGAGATGCTGGCTGGGGCTTGACATGTACTCATGCAGCTGAGCTTTCCCTCTCGTGCCTCTGCTGTCATCATGAGAAGAGCTCCTGCCCCTTCATCCTGGGCCCCAGCATGAATCCACATGCAGCAGACCTGAGCCCCACCTGGTGCAGGGAGCCAAGGTCACCCGGACACATAGCTGGATGCTGGTCTAGCCAGCCAAGCCCAGCTAGATCAGCCAACCCCACACTGATCTGCAGACACATGAGAGAAAATCTCATTTAATAGAGTGGGAAGTCGATAATTAATATCTATGGTTGATGATCCAAGAAACAGTAGGAAAGATATATTATTTAGAGGTACCCAGAAGAATCAGAGCTCGAAATGGCCATTTTTGGCAAGTGGGTTGAGGCTGGGAGAGGTGAGGTGGAGGATTTTTTTTCAACAGACTATTTTTCAGAGCAGTGTTAGGTGTGCAGCAAAACTGAGGGGCAGGTACAGAGATTTCCCATATACTCCCTGCCCCAACACATGCACAGCCTCCCCCGTTATCAACATCCCCCAGATGGGACATTTGTTACAGCTGATGACCCTACACTGACACATCATTATCACGTGAAGCTCACGCTTTACATGACAGTTTGCTCTTGGTGTTGGGTTTGGACAAGTGTGTAATGACATGCTTTTATATTTCGCTAGAAGCTTTTCTGAACTATTTGATTCTTTCAAACTGTGTACATAACTACTTTGATAAAAATTAAGGAATAAATAAGATGAATGGATGACTTGAAAGCCTTCAAATTTTGTTGCTTGCTCCATGACCCAACATGACAGCTTTAAATGGCCTTTCCCTCTGGAGGATCCCTAAAACCAAAGATGTAGGTGAGGAAAGTGAAGAAGACATGTTTCTCCTCTCATCTATGTTAATTTAGGCATTTTGAGGTTTGGCCTAGTGACGGTAATAGTCAAGTTTTGATGAGGAAAACAGAAATCAGTCTATGTTTACCATATATAAGGGGGTTGAATGCAGGGGACTGGGGAGTGGGAGAGAGGTCAGGGAGGTCATCACTGACAGGTTTAGCCAGCAGCACTGAAGTGGGAGGCGGGGGGATCTCAGGAAGTTATCTAGAACCTGCTGTGAGACTCGCAGCTGCTCAGTCGTCTGCCAGCCACTGCTTCTGGAGAACAGAAGGCCTCCTTTCCAAAACTCACCAAGAGCCTCTCACCAGTGACCTGTCCTGGAACCACAGGTGACAGGTCCATTCCGGCAAATGCAAGCCCTGGCCTCTCCTCTGTAATACAGAGACATCAGCAGGGAGTGGCAGCAGTGCCAAATTTGACACAGTCCAGCCCAGTTCCCCAGGACTCTGGTGATGGCCTATTTGAATTATTAAAAGATAAGATAAAACTTCCAGCAAAAGGGTAAAGGCCATGTAGCAAAGAGAGGTAGCCTCTCTCTTCTGATGCCATTCTCTCCACGGTCCTCCCCCAGGGTGTGGGCAGTTAGGTGCTGTGTATGCAGGAGCGGGGGTTGGGGGGCAGTTTGTTTATCAGATCCCTGGGAAGCCTCTCTTTATGTCAGGCCTGGACTGGGTACCAGGTGAGCCTTGGGAACCCTGCACTGGCCTTGTGACCATTTTCCCCTGCCAGGGAAGGGTGGGCTTTCTACACTGACCTTATGGCTCTGCCTGGGGTTGGCTGCTCCTTGCCCCAGAAGATAATGCAGATAAGATACCAGCAAGGGGAGGGAATGAAGGCACAGGATGTCCTGCAGAATTCTGATCTTTCTCCCTCTGCTGGGAGAATTTACACCTTTTCCGTCCTGTGACATCTGCACTAGCAAATAGAGAAAGGCTGCTTCTGTGTCTCAAAAAAGACAGGTTTCAGGGGAATGTCCTCACCATCAATTATCTAAGTTATTAAAGAGGTTCCTGGGTCACCTCGCCCTGCCCTGAGACGTTACAGTCCTTGGTTTCTCAGCCTTCTGCTGGCAATGTTGCTCTTTTATCTCCTGATGTTTGTTTCCCAGTTCTCAACGTTTTATTCCATTTTCATTAAAAAAATATTTAATCTCCCCTAATCTCTAGCGAAAAGAATCCTACCAACGACAGGGACAATGTCTGACTCCCAGGACTCTGGCGATGTCAGGCCGCCAATAAAACCTCCTGAGAATCTGCTACCAACAATCTCTGCCCAGATCCACGACTGAGGGAGGGGGCCTGGCAGCTACACGACTCTGCTGTGCAGAGCGGGGAACAGGAGGCGATATGGAATCTGCACTGAGTGTTCACTGTCTGATGGGGTCTGAGGTGGCCGACCTGACACAGGATAGGGCCTCACACTCAGAGCCACACCCTAAGGGAAGTCATCTCCTCCCTGGACAACAGCCCTTCCTCCTCCTGACAGAAGAAAGAGACGGGCTTTGACAGCAGACACAAATTCAGATCTGGGTCCAGCCCTTCTGAGCTGTGGGAATTTAGAGAAGTTATTTGAGCTCCTCTGTAAGTTTAGTTCCTGTATTTTATAAATGGAAGGAAACCCTACCTCACAGGGTTGTTGGAAGGATTCAGTGGCATTACCCATGCTAAGCATCTTACCCATCATCCGGTCCCTGGCAGGACCCCGTAAGTATAATGCTTTCCTAAGCTGCTGTATCTTCCGCTTCTCCCTCCCTCCAGGCCACAGCTATGTCAGGTCTTCCAACCCTAAAAGCACTCTCTCTACTGCCCTGGAAAATGATGATTTTCAGGGATGCAGAAGGATAGATTCAAGTCTTTGGAGGGAATAAAAGGAACCAGGGCTTCTTGGAGAAATGGTTGATTCCAGACCTGGGGCAATAAATGCACAAGATGAGCCTGGAACATCTGACCACTCCAGAAAATAAGGAAATTTCCAAAGACAATTAACGTCGTGTCAAAAGAGTCAGGAGTCAACCTGAAAAGGCTCCAGTTGGCTAAAGATGGGACAATTTGAGCATCAACAAGGAGAATAAATATAACTGCAGTTATGAAATCCATGAGTTCACAATGATATTAAAAACCAAACATGCAAACCTCATTAAGAATTAATGAGAAAGAATTAATCCTGCTCATATCTTGGGGTAATCAAAGTCATTGCTGAAAAGTTTCTCTTTGTGAAAGTATTTCAGTACCATTAGCATTTTATTACAATTTATAACCCCTAATGAAATAACAGATCTGGGCAAAGACCACCAGCATCATGAAAAGAGATAAATCAGACATCACATACCCCTTGAAGGGAGCACACAGCACCATCTATGAAGTGGTCTTTTCCTTCCCCACCCCACTGCCAACTAAACTTACACAAAACAAAGAAGGACATTATATAGTAATAAAAGATCCAACAGAAAAGAAGATATAATAAGTATAAATGTTTATACACCTAATGACAGACCATCAAAATAACAAAGCAAAAATTGACAGATTTGAAGGGAGAAATACACAGTTCTACAATAACAGTTGGAGACTTCAATAACCATCTACAATAATGGACAGAACAATCAGACAGAAGGTAAGTGAGGAAACAGAGGACTTAAACAACCCAACAGATCAACTTGATCTAATAGACACATACAGAATTCTCTACCAAAAAACAGCAGCATACACATCCTTCCCAAGTGTACATGGGACATTTCCCAGACCATATGTTAGGCCAAAAATTAAGTCTCAATAGATTTTAAAACATAGATATCACACAAAGTATATTCTACAACCAAAATGGGATGAACTTAGAAAACAACAGAAGGAAAACTGGAAAATTCAGTAAATTACAGAATTCAGCAACACACTTTCAAATAACCAATGGATTAAAGAAGGAATCATGGGGAGGGGGTATAGCTTAAGAGGTAGAGTGCATGCTTAGCATGCACAAGGTCCTGAGTTCAATCCCCAGTACCTCCATTAAAAAAATTAAATTAAACTAAATAAATAAAACTAGTTACTTCCCCCCTTCAAAAACAAAGAAAATTAGAAAATACTTAGACACAAATGAAGATGAAAACACAACATACCAAAACTTATGGGACACAATAAAAGTGGTGCTAAGAGGAAATTTTATAGCTATAAACACACAAAACAAGAAAGATTTCAAATCAACAACCTAACTTTAGAACTTAAGGAACTAGAAAAAGAACAAACTAAATACAAAGCTACCAGAAAAAGGAAGGAAATAAAGATTAGAGCATAGATTAACAAAGTAGAGAACAGAAAAACAATAGAGAAAAATCAATGAACCCAAAAGTTGATTCTTTGAAAAGATCAACAAAATTGACAAACCTTTAGCTAGATCGACTAAGAAAAACAGAGGAAAGACTCACAATGCTAAAATCAGAAGTGAAAGTGGGGACATTACTACCGATTCTACAGAAATAAAAAGGATTGCAAGTGAGCACTAGGAACAACTGTACATTAACACATTGATAAAATTTTGATAAAATTTTATCCTAGATAAAATTCCTAGAAACACAAAGCCTACCAGACTAAATCATAAAAAAACAAAATCTGAGTTGACTTTTAGTAAGAGGACTGAATCAATAATAAAAAATATCTCAATAAAGAAAAGACCTGGACCCAGTGGCTTCACTGGTGAATTCTACCAAACATCTAAAGAATTAATACCAATTTTTCTCAAATTTTTCCAAAAATACTGAAAAGGAGAAAACACTTATCTCATTCAAGAGGCCAACATTACCCTGATATAAAGACAGACAAAGACACTACAAGAAAACTATGGCCAATATCCATTATGAACATTGATACAAAAATCCTCACAAATATTAGCAAACTGAATTTTGCAACATATTAAAAGGACAGTTCACCATGACCAAGTGAGATCTATTCCTGCAATGCAAGGATGGTTCAACATATAAAAACTGATCCATGAAATACACCACATGAACAGGAAGAGAGGGGAAAAAAATCACATGATCATTTCAACTGATGCAGGAAAAAAAATTGAAAAAATTCAGCACTCTTTCATGATTAAAAAACACTAAAAATTGGGAATAAAAGGGAACTATTTCAACATAATATAAGGCATAGATTAAAACTCACAGCAAACATTATACTCAGTGGTGGAAGACTTAAGGCTTTTCTTCTCTAAGATCAGGAATAAGGCAAGAATGCCTGCTTTCACCATTTCTAGTCAACACAGTACTGGAAGTTCTAATCAGAGCAATTAGGCCAGAAAAAGAAATAAAAGGCATCCAAACTAGAAATGAAGAAGTAAAATAATCTATTTACAGATGAAATGATTTTATATACAGAAAACCCTAAAAATTACACACCCAAAAAACTGTTAAAACTAATAAGCAGGGGGAGGGTATAGCTTAGTGGAAGAGTGCATGCTTAACATGCACAAGGTCCTGGGTTCAATCCCTAGTACCTCCATTTAAAAAAATAAGTAATAAATAAATAATCCTAACTGCCTTTCCCCCTTCAAACAAACTAAAAATAAAACCAACTGAATTATAAAACTTTTACACAACATTGTAAAATGATTATAAATCAATAAAAAATGTTAAAAAAATCTATAAAGCTGGGGGGAGGCAATTAAAAAAACTTTTACATGAAAACAGGAGAAAATCTTTGTGACTTTGAGCAAAGGTTTCTTAGGTACTATACTAAAGCATGATTTATAAAAGGAAAAAGTTGAGAAAGTAGACTTCATCAAAAAAAAACAAGATCTAATAAGTGAATTTAGCAAAGAAGCAGGACATAAAGTCAACACACAAAAATCAGTTGCATTTCAATACACTAAAAATGAACAATCTGAAAAGGAAATTATGAAGACAGTTCCATTTACAATAGCATCAAAAAGAATAAAATACTTAATAGCTAACCAAAGAGATCAAAGACCTGTACGATAAAAATTATTTTTAAAAACCCCAAAAATAAGAAAAAAAGAAAAGAAGTATAAAACGTTGCTGAAAGAAATCAAGGAAGAAATAAATAAATGGAAACACATTCTGTGTTCCTGGATTAGAAGGCTTAATACTGTTAAAATGTCAATCCTATCCAAAGTAATCTACCGATCCAATGAAATCCCTATCAAAATCCCAATGATATTTTTGGAATAGAAATAGTAAAACACATCCTAAAATTCACACGAATCTCAAGGAACACCCAACAGCCAAAACAATCTTGAAAAGGAACAAACAAGCTAGAGGATTCACACTTCTTGATTTGAAAACTTACTAGAAAGCTAGAGGAATCAAAACAATATAGCACTGGCATACAGATGGACATAGAGACCAGTGGAATAGAATAGAAAGGCCAGAAATAAACACTTATACATACCGCCAAGTGATTTTTGACAAGGGTGCAGAGACCATTCAATGAGAAAGGTCAACATCTTTTCAACAAATGATGCTGGCAAAACTGGATATCTTCATGCAAAAGAATGAAGTTAAAAAGAATGTGACAATGAATATATGTATGTTCATGTATAACCGAAAAATTGTGCTTTACACTGGAAATTGACACAACATTGTAAACTGACTGTAACTCAATAAAAAATAAAATAAAGAAAGAAAAAAAAGAATGAAGTTGAACTCATTTGTAATATTATAAAAACTAACTCAAAAGTAATCAAAAACCTAAATGCAAGACCTAAAACAATAAAAATCCCAGGAGAAAACATAGGGCAAAAACTTTACAATGTTGTATTTGGCAATGATTTCTTGGATATGACACCAAAGGCACAGGCAACGAAAGAAAAACAGACAAACTGGACATCATGAAAACTAAATGTGCGTGAAAAGACACTACCCAACAGAGTAAAAATGCAACCCACAGAACAAGAGAAAATATTTGCAAATCATGTATCTAATAAGGGGTTAATAACCAGAATATATGGAGAGTATTCCTAAAACTCAACAATAATAAAACAATAGATTAAAAATGGGCTTGAATAGACATTTTTCCAAAGAAGATATACAAATGGCAAAGAAGCATATATAAAAGATGCTCAACATCACTAATCATCAGGGAAATGCACATCAAAACCACAACGAGATACCACCTCACACCCATCAAGATGGATACATTTAAAAACAAAAACAAAAACAGAAAATAGCAAATCTTGGTGAGGATGTAGAGAAATGGGAATCCCTGCACTGTTGGTGGGAATGTAAAAATGGTACAGCCACAATGGAAAACAGTATATTGGTTCCTAAAAAGATTAAAAATAGTACTATATGACCCAGCAATTCCACTTCTGGTTTTATACCCAAAGAATTGAAAGCAGGTTCTCAAAAAGATATTTACACATCCATGTTCATAGTAGCATTATTCACAACAGCTCACGTGCGGAAGCAACCCAAGAGTTCATCAGCTGATGAAAGGATAAGCCAAATATGGTACACACACACAATGGAATATTGTAACTTACAAGTTCCTTTATAGGCTGAATAATATTAATTCTGACATTTGCTACAACATGGATGAACCCTGAGAACATTATGCCAAGTTAATAAACCAGTTGCAAAAAGACAAATACATATGACTCCACTTATATGAGGTACTTATAACAGTCAAAATCATAGAGACAGAAAGTACAATGGTGGTTACCAGGGTCTGGAATGAGGGGGAATGGGAAGGTATTGTTTAATGGGTAAAGAGTTTCAGTTTTACACATTGAAAAGTTATGGAGATGGATGGTGATGATGTTTGTACAGATTATGAATGTATTTAATACCACTGAACTGTACACTTAAAAAATGGTTAAGATAGTCAATTTTATGTTGTGTATTTTACCACCATAAAAAAGGGAGGGGAAAAAAACTGTCAAGAACACGAAGGACAGTAAAAGATCAAAGAACTGCTCCAAATGAAAAGTCTGAGAAAGAGACATGAGGATTACATGTAACATGACTTCCTAGACAAAATCCTAGACCAGAGAGGAGAAAGAGTCGCTGTGGAACAGCTGGTGAAATCCACACGCGATCTGTGACTTGGAGGTTAATGCTGTACCAATGCTGATTTCTTGGTTTGGGGGGTACTATGCTGGCTGTGTAGGAGAGTGTCTTTGTTCTGGAGATATTGTCACTGGAGCGTTTTGTGGTAATGAAATATCATGTCTACAATTTGCTCTCCAAATGTTCAGAAAAAGAATAGGGTGGGTAATGAAGCAAATACAGTAATAGATTGACAACTAGGGAGTCGGGGTGAAGGGCATAGGGGAGAGATTCATACACACCTGGAGGCATCTTGATGAAGTGCTCAAGGACATGTACTTTGGCCTGGTGCATGGCCCGCTCTTTCTCTGCAAGGGCCCGTGCGCGGGCCTGAATGATGTGTCTCTCCAACATTTCAACCTCATCCAGCCGCTGCTTATAGAGCTCCCGAATCTGGCAGGTGGACAATCAGATGCACAGAAATATGGTGAGATCATGCAGCTTTACTCCCCCTCACCCCAGTATCAGGCCTTCCCATGAAGTGTAGAAGAACAGTCACAGAACCTCAGAGACCATCTGGTCTAACTGAATAGATCTGAACATAGACCCACAGAGGAAAATGGCTTAAAGCTTTCACCTTTAGGTCAGTAAGGGCCAAGTCTGAAACCCTGTCTCCTGACTCCTGGTTTCACAGTAAAGTGAGCTGCCATCCAAATACAAGTTAGCACTACATATGGTAGAGAAAGGGCTGTGTCACCCAGCCCCCCCTCAACCCCTCTTCAAAGAAGGACTTGCTGCCTAGCTGCAGGGAGCATAGGGAGTTGATTGTCTCCAGCTGTCAGCCCTTTCAGAGTTGCCCTCAATTGCCTGAAAGCACTAAGCACAGAGACTCCCTTTAAGGGAGCAGTGGGCAGTGTGGCCAGCAATCAAAGACTCAGGAGAGACAACTCCAGTCAGCTGCTTTCCTCCTTACACAGATGAGGAAGCCGAGTTGCTGTTCCAGAAACTGGGCAAGCTTCCTAAAATCTGGCCATGAATGCCTCGGTTAAGACTATGTTTTGGGGTACAAAGTCAGGCACCCCAAAGGGGGACTGACTTTTAGTTTTGTCATCTCCAGGGAGCAACTACTATTCAGTTATCTGCCCCGGTCGTTTTATTTACATATGCAATATATAATGTGTAAATGTATGTAGAGAAATAAAGATAGGTAGCTGCTACAGATACATGCCCTGTGTGTGTAGTATGTACCTATTTGCCTAAGCGCGGTATCGAGTGTCTTTCCACTAGAATGTCGCGTATACTGAGATACGGACTTGGTCTGCTCTTTCCCAGCCTCCTCCTCTCCCCACCGCCACTCCCCCGCCGCCCCAGCCCGTGCCTGAAACGGCGCGCGACAACCCGCAGGGGATAACACTTGCCGAGCGGCTGAGTGCTGAGGGAGCCCACCTTTCTGAGGGTGCACCCTGGATCCCCTGCACGGCCGCAGACAGATGCTGCCCCACCCCGGGTGAGCACGCGCAGGGAACGCTCGGGGCACGGGGGCTGTGTTACCTGCTGCAGCTGCTCCACGAACTCCTCGTGCCGCGCATCCTCGCTGCCGCGGGCCTTGATCAAACTCGCGCTCACCTCCTCGCCGATTACCTCAGCGGTGTACAAATTGCGAAAGATGCCGGTGAGCAAGTACGAGATGTCCTGGGTGCGCAGCGAGGTGGGGCGCAGACGCAGCAGGTGAGGCTCGGGGAGCGGCGGGAGCGCGAGCGGCGAGACGCGGCGGGGCCGGCCCCCGAAGCCGTAGTGGAAGGACTCGGAGTAGGCGAGGGAGGACAGCCGGGTGGACTGGCTGGGGCTGCGAGTCCGGGCCAGAAGCGGGGCTGGGGTCCACGTTGCCCCGGCGAACGCGTAGGACCCAGAGTCCGCCGGCTGCCTGTCGCCCCTTCCAGTCTCCATGGCAACTGAGACACCGCTAACTCAGCGCCGCACTTCCGCTTCCGGCCGGCCTCTTCCGCTTTGCCTTTTTCCAAGGCGCTGTCAATTCGTCATCATCACATACATTCGCACAGCAGTATCGTGTTTACCAAGGTAAGCTTAGTGTGAGGCACCAGTGGAGAAAAGGTTAATTGGCACAGCCAGGCCAGTCTGATTGCAAAAGCTTCTTCCTACTTACCTTCAACTGCCCATTCTCTAATTTGTTCAACAGTTATTAATTAGTTCATTTAATACTTACTATATAAAGATTGTTTCAGGTCTGTGCTGGGAGATGCTGCTTCCGCATTCACGGAGCTCACAGGGAGAGTGGGAGGGTGAGAGAGACCAGGGTGGCGAGCAGGCAGGGCACAGGAAAACAATTGCAGTTTAGTGGGTTAAGGCCAAGATGGAGATAAATATTGGTTGTCATGGAACCACAAAGGACAGGAACTTAGTCTACAGAGGGAGGGTGTACAGTGGGTTTTTTTGGTAGAAGACCAAGCAGAGATTTCAAA